CCTATTAATCAATCCCTTACCAATTAATAGTTACAGTTCTTTTGAAAATCTTATTCTTAGTTTTCCTAATCCACATTGCAAAACTGTAAAACCACTCATGTTTGTAGTTTTGTATCATCCACCAGGCCCTTACTCTGAGTTTTTGGATCAGATCTCTGATTTTTTATCTGATTTGGTGCTAAATACTGATAAGGTCATGGTAGTGGAGGATTTTAACATTCATGTGGACATTGAAAATTGTCACAACGTGCCGGTGAGTGAGGCAGATACAGGGATCCACATGCGGGCGAGGGAAGCAGGCAGGCAGACAAACTGGAACGAGTAACAGCCTTTAATGAGGAGAGCACGCAGGACAATGAAACAATGAACCAACCTGAGACACAGGACTGAAAGGGGTTTAAATACATGAGGACTGGGAGCTTGGGTGATTGGAAAACGAGAGGCAGGTGGGAGCAATTAACAGAGACACATGACTAAACAGAACGGGGAGACAAGACAGAGTGTAACAGTACCCCCCCAAAAGGGCGGATCCCAGACGCCCACAGGCACACAGAGCAGGGCGGGAGGAGGGGGACCAGGAAGGAGGGCCAAGAGGAACCGAGGGACCGGTGGAGAGGAGGCAGGAACCAGTGAAGTCCGGGGACCTGCGTCTGGGGCAGAGGAGGAGATGACGACGAGCTCTTGGGGGCCTGCGTCTGGGGCAGAGGAGGAGACAACGACGAGCTCTCGGGGGCCTGCGTCTGTGGCAGAGGAGGAGACGTGGACGAGCTCTTGGGGGCCCGCGCCTGATGAGGGCAGGACTGGCGGTGACCGGAGGCAGAGACGCCGGAGGAGACATCCTTGACTTCTGGACTGGAGGCGGCGGCGACGACCTCTGGGCTGGAGGCGTCGTCGTCGACCTCTGGGCTGGAGGCTGCGGCGGCGGCCTCTGGGCCGGAGGCGTCGTCGTCGGCCTCTGGGCTGGAAACGGCGTCGTCGACCACTGGACTGAAGACGGCGTCGACCACGGGACTGGAGACGGCGTCGCCCACTGGACTGGAGACGGCCTCGCCCACTGGACTGGAGACGGTGTCGCCCACTGGACTGGAGACGGCGTCGACCATGGGACTGGAGACGGCGTCGACCACGGGACTGGAGACGGCGTTGACCACTGGACTGGAGACGGCGTCGACCAATGGACTGGAGACGGCATCGACCACTGGAATGGAGACGGTGGAGACGTTGGACTGGAGGGGACGTCGACCTCTGGCCTGGAGGGGACGTCGACCTCGGGACACGAAGGAGCGTCAACCTCTGGACACGAAGGAGCGTCGACCTCTGGACATGAAGGAGCATCAACCTCTGGACTGGAGAGAGCGTCGACCTCAGGACTGGAAAGGGGGCGTCGCCCTCCATCGACTTCTGGTTCGAAGGCATCGACTTCTGGTCCGGGGGCGTCAATTTCTGGTCCGTTGACTTCTGGACCATCGGCTTCTGGACCGTCAAATTCTGGACCGTCGACTTCTGGTCTGGAGGCGTTAACTTCTGGTTCGGGGGCGTCTGCTTCTGGACCGTCGGCTTCTGGTCCGGGGGCCTCGGCTTCTGGAGTGGAGGAGGAGTTGCTACAGACGAGACCGTTTGGACAGGCTGGACCGGATGCGGTGCGACCTCCGGGACCACCGCTGGAACTGGATGCCTTGAAGATATAAAAAATTGGATGACTCAAAACGTTCTGCTTTTAAATCAAGACAAGACTGAAATTGTCATATTTGGACCTGAAATTCAGAAAAGGAAATTGCTTAGTCAATCACCTGACCTGAATGGCATTAAATTAATCTCCGAGAACAAAGTAAGGAACCTTGGTGTTATCTTTGACCAGGACATGTCATTCAAATCCCACGTTAAACAGGTTTGTAGGATTTCATTTTTCCACCTTTGTAACATTGCTAAGATTAAAAACATCATTTCCAGGAGTGGTGCTAAAAAACTAGTGCATGCATTTATTACATCAAGACTGGATTACTGTAATTCATTACTCTCAGGAAGCCCACAGAATGTAGTTAAAAGTCTTCAGCTTGTCCAAAATGCTGCAGCTAGAGTTCTGATAAGAATTAAAAAGAGAGATCATATCTCTCCTGTCTTAGCTTCCCTACATTGGCTGCCTGTAAAATTCAGAATAGATTTTAAGATCCTCCTTCTCACATATAAAGCTCAATAATCAAGCTCCATCATACATCAGTGACCTGATTGTTCCATACTTTCCTAACCGAGCACTTTGCTCTCAGACTGCAGGTTTACTGGTGGTTCCCAGAATATATAAAAATTAGATGGGAGGCAGATCTTTTAGCTATCAGGCTCCTCTCCTGTGGAACCAGCTCCCAGCATTAGTCCGTGAGGCAGACACCTTGTCTACTTTTAAGACTAGGCTTAAAACATTTTTATTTGATTGGGCCTATGGTAAAAATCTGATGTTAGCCCAGATCTGGACAAGTGGGGGAGTAAAGGGAGGTGGAGTGTACAGTCGGTAAAGATGGCTCTCCCTTGCCCTGCCTCCATCTAAAAGGCTAGGTTATCCAGAGTTATCTCTGTAGTTATGCTGCTATAGTCTTAGACTGCTGGAGGGCACGCTGACCACTTTTCACACTCGACTACTTTCTTCTACAATTTGCTCTTTAACTGTATTATTTCCTGCAATTTCAGCTGTTAACTTTATTTTTTTCTCTAAGTGTTTTTCTTCCCAGAAGAAGCTACAACGATGTTCTGCTGAGCTGTGGTGGCCTCATGGTGGGGGCCATCGGCTTGAACACTGTTGCTAACAACTTAAACATTCTCCTTCTCCTTTTAATAATATTTTACTTTCTTTGACATTGAATATGTTACTACTAGTTTACCCTTTAATTATAGATTCACTAGGATAAATACAATAAAGTTTATCTCTCACCAAATAGAATATTTACTAAGAAATCACAATGTAACCATAGAAATATTACTTGGCATATATGTTGTGTGTGTGGATGTGTGTGTGTGTGTGGGGGGGGGTGGGCTGGTGTTAGTGTTGGTGTGTGTGTCTGTCTGCTCTGTCTTCTTGAGCCACAGTGAGTTGTGGAGGATGGCTGCTTATACTGAGCCAGGATCCTCAGGAGATTTCTTCTTGTTAAAAGGGAGTTTTCCTCTCCACTGTCACTAAATGCTTGCTTAGTATGAGGATTGCTGTAAAGTCACTGATTTGCTAGGTTCCTTATATAGGAAACTTTTTCCTGACAGGCTTAATGAACTGAAATGGAACATCGGAATGTTTACTTTGTGAAGTGCCTTGAGACGACTCTTGTTGTGATTTGGCGCTATATAAATAAACTTGAATTGAATTGAATTGAATACCACAGACCTTTGTTGGTACATACTGTCTTTATCCAGATTTGTTATCGTGTGACGTACCAGAATCACGTGTGGTCTTGCAATTCTCCTGTCATTTCTTGACCTTGCAGGACCAATGTGTCAAACGCTTTCATTGCCATTTTGCATCTGAAATGCCCCCAGTGGGAAGGGAGCTTGCAGGTAAAAATGTGGGTAAAATATGTTTATTACGTCATGTGCCGTTTACACATTGGTGGATAGGCTGGGTTAGAATTGATGAGTGGTAACTGGAAAAATAGAGAACAGTTCAGATTAGACTGATGAGCTAACAACTAAGTCCAGAGGATTTTGATCATGGAAGTGTGACAATTGTTAAGCCTTGGGCACACAGAACACAGATGCGCCTGCACCGTCATTTTCAAAAGAAGTTACTGAAAGTGGCTACATGGGGAGGGCAGGACATCCCAGTAGTGTCGGTCCACGGCGTGGCGTGGAAGATGGACACCAGTTCTATTTCAAGGGCCGTGGCGCAGCCGTTTACAACATTGTGGAGTACTTTACAACAAACATTATGACGCGGAACGGCTTTACGGCACAAACCCAACCACTAAAACATGGACGAGGAGCTTGTAAAAGCTACTTGATTACAGTATTGAAAACTGTAAAGTCTTATTGATCCTAAAATATTCTAATAAATAATGTACTTGCCGTCGTGTCTCACAAAACACGACGGCAAGTCTGATCACGTATAAACAAAAGAGTCACTTTCCGCTTCCTGCCCTCAAGTCCTGCGTGATGTTCTGACTTTCGTGCGACTTTCCAAGAAGCGCTCAGCGATTCCTGTGTGACCCCAAAACCGCTGCGCTTCTGTGGCGCAGCACATCCATTCTCTGTGTGCCCCAGGCTTTACACTTTTGCCACAGTACTCGGTTACTTTAACAGAAAAACGATTATGTTTTCAGGAAGTGTTCTAAGCTGCACAGGAAGTGCCACCGCTAGCCGCTACTGCGATTCATGTTTGTGTATGTGTTGTTTTCTTTATGATGTACAGTTTTTTTTAAATTAAAACAAGTTTGGTAAACAACTCCTTTGTGGATGGTTTCGACCAAAACACTTGTGTATCTGTTGAGCATGGGAGTGGGCGAATGACGGTTTGGGCTTATGAAGAGCGATGTGTTAGCTAACCTTTTCTGCAGCAGGATGATGGTCCCAACACGTTTTGCGATATATGTGCTTTGAACACTTAGACTCAATAGGTTTCATCATTTCCTTTAGAACGGTTGTGTTCGGTGTTCCCTTTAAAATGAGACACCGTGTTACATTAGAGTTTATTGATCACATCCTGCTCTCTGCTTCAGGAAGGCCAGAAATCATCCTGGTGATGAGCTGTATACACGAGCTCTTTGTCCTTTCTTCGACCCCCTCTCTTCTTTCACAGCCCATCATCCCTCCTTTCATCCCAGGACCATTTCTGTCTCTCCTCTCCCCACGTTTCAGTCGCATCTCTCTTTTCTTCATCGTATTGTTCAGTGAAAACAGGAGAAAGCACGGATGCCAGGAAAGAAACCTGCTGGTTTTTCTTACAACTGATAAAGAAGAGCTGTGCTGCAACACGTTTTGCTTTGTCATGATGCAGTGATATTTCTGAAGCAGTTCTCTTTTCACAGAGTTACGGAGGTCCATGGATGGAGCCGGGATGGTGGTGTCAGTGGAAGGGTTGAAGTGGCTCTCTGAGGACTATGCTGTTTCTACAGGTATCACTTACAGACTTATTGTGCTTTTTGTTTAAAGACACTGAAGATGAAGGATGAGTCTTCATCTGTTTGGACCTCAGTGTTTTTTATGCCCATGCCATTTGGAAACGTCCATCTTTTTTCTGAGTCCCTCCAGCTGTTACACAGTGAGGTGTTAATTTACCCAAACAGGACAGATTACAGGCTTACGGCCTACTGTGTGTGTGTGTGTGTGTGTGTGTGTGTGTGTGTGTGTGTGTGTGTGTGTGCGTGTGTGTGTGTGTCCTTTTACATCCTTTACGTCACAACTGCTGTGAGTCAGCTTGTTTCTTCCTTTCCTGAGTCACTTGTCCTGCGGTTGCCAGGTTACAGCAGAGCGGTAAAAGTTTCCTATTGCGTCTTTGTCTCCGCAGATGGACAAGCTCCGATATTTATTCAAGCTCAGGAGTGAGTGGACGAGCGTGTGCATGGGGGTGTTTGTGTGCACTGTTTTGTTAATAATGGGCAACAACTGCTAAAGCTAGTCTAGAGCTAACTGTGATTAGCAGACTTTGAGAGATTTGTGGACGTCGTGTTCAAGAGACCAGTCCACACCTGCCTGTGGACATGTGGACAACCTCAGACATCAGACCTCTTTATCACCAGGATTCAGTCTGTTTTTTTTCCTTGAAACTTGAGACACATTCAGTAGTTTTCCATTGGGCTAAGTTATGTTTTTTTCACCTTCTCTGTCCTTGTGTGACCTGGACAGGCGTCCTCCTCGGTGACTCCACCAAGGAGGTAGCCATCACGATACACTCCCCCACCAAAAGAAAAAGGTGGTCTCAGAACCTTTTAGGCCAAAAGCATCTCATTGAGAGTTCTGGGATACAAAAATAATGTATTTTTAATAAAAACTAGAGCTTAACAATAAACCAAAAGAGATGTAGGAAAGAGGATATACATTTACAAGAAAAGCATAAAATTCCCCAGATGTGATGGGTTTTCTAGTGTTTTTTACTCTATTCTGAGCAGCAACAACATCTGGGTCACCTGTTATTCAGCATCGTCTATGAAATGTGTTTTCTAGTTAACATCAATGAGGATTTAAAACATTCTGACTTCCTCCTGTAAAGCCTTGGTGAATATCTCCAGGTCAGATGAAACCAGATCACTGTTTTATGTCCTCTTTATCCCAGATTTCCCAAATCAGATTACTTGGACGTGACAAGTTTCTCATTTTCTGACGGAACAACTTGAATGTGGACACCTAAAGAGGACACAATCCTGATGGAAGACTTGGACAGGTGCTTTGTTGTTTGGGATGATTGTAGAAAAACACTTCTCAATACTAGTTTTGGACTGGAGAACATCCACCATGTTTCTTCCAAAACACTTTCCCTATATTATCCCAAACAGTTCTGGAAATGCAGAGAGAGAAAATGTAACCAGCCTCAGTGGTTATCTGAAACCTGGCCAGAACAAACCTTGCAGCAGGGACCTGAATGCAAAACTGAAGAAGAGCGTGTCGTTTGAGGAGGATGTCACCGTCTACCTGTTTGATCAGGTACCAAACTCCCATTTAGATTTCCTCTTCATATAAACTGTCACAACTGATATTCAGCTGCTTTGTAGGAGAAGCCCACCTTGAAGCTGCTCTCAGATTCCTGCACATCTCTGCAAAACAACTTCTCCTGCAACCAGCTCGCCGTCACATCAGAAGACTCTGGTATGGCATTCCTATTTTCATTCAAACGTTTTATTCCAATAAAAGGTATAAGCTGCATGTTTACTTAGAATACAAATACTGCTAAAGTACACTGAACAAAATATAAATGCAACACTTTTGTTTTTGCTCCCATTTTTCATGAGCTGAACTCAAACATCTGAAACTTTTTCTACATGCACTAAAGACCCATGACTCTCAAATACTGGTCTAAAATCTGTCAAAATGTGTGTTAGTGAGCACTTTTCCTTTACCAACATAATCCATCCCAACTCACAGGTGTGGCATATCAAGGGGCTGATTAGACAGCATGTATAATGTACAGGTGGGCTTTAAACTGCCCACAATAAAAGGCCACCCTGACATGTGCAGTTTGATCAAACAGCACAAAGCCACTGACGTAGCAACCTTTGAGGAAGCGTGCAGTTGTCATGCTGACTGCAGGAATGTCTACCAGAGCTGTTGTTTGTGACATTAATGTTCATTTCTCTACCATAAGCCGTTTCAGAGAATTTGGCAAATATACTTTTACTGAAACTCGTTTTTGAGTTTTTTTAAATCTTTTTAACATTTTAAAGGAGAAACCATTAATGCTAAACTATGAAAAATAATATACAGCATATTATGCATATTACATCTCATTTCACCAGACATAGATAAAACATGCCACAGCTTAAAGGTTAGAAGTTTAGAAAAGCACACATTTCTGTAAAACAGTAGCTTGTAAATTATTTAAATCTTCATTATAAAAATATTGAACGAAGATAACATGTCATTTCAGAACATGTAGAATTTAGATAAATGAGCTGTTTTGAAGTGAAAACAGAGGGAAGTCCATTCAATTCAATTCAAGTTTATTTACATAGCGCCAAATTATGACAAGAGTCGTCTCAGGGGACTTCACATAGTAAACATTCCAATACAGGTCAGTTCATTAAGCCAATCAGAAAAAAGTTTCCTATATAAGAAACCCAGCAAATTGCATCAAGTCACTGACTAGTGTCAGTGACTTTACAGCAATCCTCATACTAAGCAAGCATTTAGCGACGGTGGAGAGGAAAACTCCCTTTTAACAGGAAGAAACCTCCAGAGGATCCTGGCTCAGTATAAGCAGCCACTCACCACGACTCACTGGGGATCGAGAAGATAGAGCAGAGACACACACACACACACACACACCATATATACCAAGTAGTGTTTCTATGGTTACATTGTGATTTCTTAGTAAATATTCTATTTGGTGAGAGATAAACTTTGTTGTATTTATTCTAGTGAATCTATAATTAAATGGGTAAACTAGTAGTAGCACATTCAATGTCAAAGAAAGTAAAATGTTATTATCAGGAGAGGGAGAATGTTTAAATGGTTAGCAGCAGTGTTCAAGACGATGACCCCCTCCATGAGGCCACCACAGCTCAGCAGAACATCATTGTAGCGTCTTCAAAGTTGTCCACAGTTCCACAGTTGTACGGAAAAAAGATTTCATGTTCTGTGGAGCAAAATGTCTTAAAGTTGACATATTAAGTTAAACTCATGTGTTGCCATGTGGGTCTCTACAGCCTCTATAAACGCCCCAAACATGAAAATAATCTTTTGATTTGTTTTCTGTCAGTGTTTGTTTTTAGGAATTATGTGCCTAGAAAAGGCTTTTTCAGAAAGTTCTCATTTGTGATGTCACAGTCAGGGGATTAAGCATAGAAACACCTCTCAAATGCAAGAGAGAGTTGCTGCTGGAGGAGCAGAGGTTCTACTCAAAGCCCCTCCCAGATATCAGAACTTCTCAGCTTATAGCAGTACGAGTGGGGGATGGGTGGGCATGGCCAGCTACAGCGTGTTTTCTTAAAGTGACAGAGCCCTGAAATGGCTCATTCTGGAAGGTACTAAAAGTGTCATGAATAAAACTGCTGAAATTGCTCTAAACAAGAGGGCTTCTGTTCAAAGTGCTTCATGAACATGTTTGTATCGACCATAGAGCTATTGTAACTTCAGAAAAAAAGTCGTTATGTGTCCTTTTTAAAAATACAACTTTACCAAATGAATGAGGCAAATATGATGTACATCCCTCACTATTTGGTTGTGACTGGATTGACTTTTAGTATTCAAATTGCATTACTAGTTATTATGTGAATACTAATTGATGATGAAATTACCATTTTAGTCCCTAAACTTTGAACTTGAAAAAATAAAGTCATTAAACCAAAAAAATAAACAAACTAATCTAAAAACCGTCATTTTCAAATTAAAGGTCAAACACTGTTGTTATTATTGAACTGAATTATCATAGGAAAATGCAAAGAACTGTTTTCCTGACTCTAATCTGGGCTTTTAAGAGTAGAATCAGCCCGTTTAGTTATGCTATCACAGTCTGCTCTCATTACACAGCTAAGCTAACCTTTTGTATGCATAAACCTGCTACCTAAAACAACATTGTGTGCACTATAAAGAAAAAGGTCCTGCCCTGAAGCAGCACATGTGATCAGAACTGATCTCTATTTTTCCAAACTGGGGTTGTTCATAGAGCTACCTGCGGGTAAGGTGTGTTTTGTTCAGGACATATGCTGTGTGGATGTTTTCTGCAGATCTGCAGTGGGATGATGATTTCTCAGTTCTGGAGAAAAGCTGCTGTTTCCATTTTGGACGACTCTCTCACTCCCTCACCCTACCAACGCAGAGCTGGACCTCACCGTCCCGGCCACAACGCTCTTCTCTCTCCCAAACCTGCCTGTTCCTCACCCATGTCACCGAGTCAGACCTTGAGCTGTGAGATAAGGGTGAGTGAGCTTTTTTTGACACAGTGGTGGTCAGACCAGCCTCTCTATCTTGACATCTGCCTTCAGCCAAAGGCCAGCTCACTGTCACCATGGCCTAACGTGACATCCATGCTTGTTTTTCTTTCAGACAGCCAGCCTTGCTCTAATGGAAAAACTAAGTATTCGCCCAGATCTCATTCTCTTCACCGTCTCCCCACCTCCCTCCTCGTTTATGAGTCAGGGGTTTTAACAGCTGGCTTCCTCTCTACCCGCTCCCAACAGATTCAGTGTGCTCATGACATCACAGCATTCAGCTTTTACAGGCATGACATGATCTCTGTGTGTGTGTGTGTGTGTGTGTGTGTGTGTGTGTGTGTGTGTGTGTGTGTGTGTGTGTGTGTGTGTGTGTGTGTGTGTGTGTGTGTGTGTCATGATCTACTGTAATGTAATCAAGGAGCCAGTTGCACAACAGAACCGCTACTTTTCCAGCTGCAAACCAAACCAGACTGCATCAAACCCAAACACCTCCCTGGTTTCTGAAAGTTTTATTTGCTTTAATTTACATCAAATTTGGTGATTCTGTGACTTCCTTTCTTATGGGTACAATTCCAGCCAAGGCCCAGCTCTCCTCGTTTATCAGCTGCTGTGACAAAATAAACAGCACAAGCTTCAGGGGCCGGTGCAATCAGAAACCGAGCAAACTGAAAAGTTAAAGATAAAGTTTCCAACAGAGCAGCATCTGCAACGTTTGGCTGATAAGATACAGAGTGTACCTGAGGAGGGGAAGGAAACCTGGCAGGGCCAGCCGGCCGTCACCAGAAAACACTCATGTTTCCACCTCTTCAGAAAACACGACCTTCTCACAGGCAAGGTCAACCTAGATCAAAGTCTTTACCCCAAATGACAACTTGGAATGGGTCCTGCAACAGGAATGTGTAAACACATCTAGGCTCCCACAGTATAAGCACACACACACACACACACACACACACACACACACACACACACACACACACACACACACACACACACACACACACACAAGTGAAAACATCACGTCAAAATCCCTAATTGGAGCGGATTGCCTTTAGGAACTTGGATTGCCACCGCTGTACATTGACACATTGTCGATTTAATAAGTTAAAACTTCTTGAAGAAATTAGACACTTTATTTTAAAAACCCGCAAACAGATCAAGGACTTACCTTTAATAAAAACTAAATAAAATGCCTGAATTCTGCTGCATGAACTTTAATAAAAATTCTAAAGAGAATCTAGATTAAAAGAAATGTTAAAACTTTTGCCAGTGGCTCATTAGGGTTACCACAGCAACACACAATTTAAGGGTTCCCTACAGTTGTAGGTTCATGGGACAATGGAGTGGTACAACTAGGGCAGGGATGGGCAATCCCGGTCCTCAAGGGCCACTATCCAGCAGGTTTTAGTCATTTACCTGCTCCAGCACACCGGATTACTGGATGAATCACCTGTTCAGCAGCTCATCAGGCTCTGCAGCAACTTGTCAATCACCAGTAGATTCAAACCAGGTGTGATGAGGCAGAGAAACAACTTCAACCTGCTGGATGGCGGCCCTCGATGACCAGGATTTCCCACCCCTGGACTAGGGTCACTGAGGAACAGAAAATAACATTTCTTGTAATAATCAAAATAAACACCAGAGTGCAGTTGTTTGTATTATTTGTACACAGACATGAGAAGATGCCAGCAATTACCGCACTGGTATGATGCAATGGTTCATGTTTAGATTTAATGCGGGTCCAACTGGTGATCGAAATGCTCTCCTGAAATCGCCAGCCCCGTTCCCCGACCCCATGATTGAACCTGAGCATTAGGTAACCACTATCTAGGTCTTACTCTCAGCCCTCTTCTCTCCCCATGAGCCTGAGATCAGTGGACTCAGTGTTCTCCTTCAAAAAGAAGCTAAAAGCTCATCTGTTCAAGCTGGCTTTTGTGTGACCTTCATCCCCAGCCTTGTTCTGCTCTCCCCACCAATTCTGCCTTCCCCAGGATTCACCGATTTCCCTCTTTCTTATTTACTCTCTCTGTTTTTCTTTGCATTTTTTTTAATGACAATTGTCTATTTTGGCTTATTTTAGACATGTTTTTGATACTTTTTTGACATCTTTTTTGTATTTAAAATTTGTTGTTTTTGTGAAGCGCCTCGTGATTTTTTTCTTGAAAAGATCGTTTTCTCTTTCTCTCTTTCTTTCTTTCTTTCTTTCTTTCTTTCTTTCTTTACTTCTGTCTTCATGAGAAAGAAAGAAAGAAAGAAAGAAAGAAAGAAAGAAAGAAAGAAAGAAAGAAAGAAAGAAAGAAAGAAAGAAAGAAAGAAAGAAAGAAAGAAAGAAAGAAAGAAAGAAAGAAAGAAAGAAAGAAAGAAAGAAAGAAAAAGTCAGCTTCAAAGAGATGGTCACTGTGCAAAATGTTTTAGTCTTATTAAAACAAAAAACTAAAACACGGGTGACAGGAGTGCCTACATTGTTTCATGTGGGGGATATACAAGTTTAAAACACCCTTTTGAGTATTTAATAGAAAGTCCGGATGTTTATGTTTATGTATTTAGCAGACACTTTTGTCCAAAGCGACTTACAAGTGATAATCGGCATGTTGCCCTTGAGGCTAACAACAAAAATAACAACAACAACTTGACATCAATCATGGAGAGTAGGGAACAAGGAGTGGACGGTAGACGGGGGACGGGTGCAGGGAGGGTGCTAGTTTAGAAGATGCTCTCTGAAGAGCAGGGTCTTCAGGAGTTTCTTGAAAATTGAAAAGGAAACTCCTGTTCTGGTAGTGCTTGGAAGTTCATTCCACATTTGTGGAACGATGCATGAGAAGAGTCTGGATTGTCCTGAGCGTGGTGTAGGCACTGCTAGCCGACGATCCTGTGATGACCGGAGCGGCCGGGCCGAGACGTAAGCCTTTGCAAGAGGATTCAGGTAGATCTGAGATGGTACAGCTCCCATCTACCTGAATCCTCTTGCAAAGGCTTACGTCTCGGCCCGGCCGCTCCGGTCATCACAGGATCGTCGGCTAGCAGTGCCTACACCACGCTCAGGACAATCCAGACTCTTCTCATGCATCGTTCCACAAATGTGGAATGAACTTCCAAGCACTACCAGAACAGGAGTTTCCTTTTCAATTTTCAAGAAACTCCTGAAGACCCTGCTCTTCAGAGAGCATCTTCTTAACTAGCACCCTCCCTCCTCTCTACCGTCCACTCCTTGTTCCCTACTCTCCATGACTGATGTCAAGTTGTTGTTATTGTTGTTGTTGTTGATGGGAGCCGTATTATCTCGGACTTTGTATGCTTGTGTTAGCAATTTGAATTTGATGCGTGCTGCTAGCGGTAGCCAGTGGAGCTCAGTGAACAGAGAGGTGACGTGCTCTTTTTGGCTGATTGAAGACCAGACGCGCCGCTGCATTCTGGATCATTTGAAGAGGTCTCACAGTACAGCCTGGAAGACCAGTTAGAAGGGCATTGCAGTAATCGAGGCGGGAGATGACAGTAGATTGCACCAGGAGCTGGGTGGCATGTTGTGGTAGGTATGGTCTGATCTTTTGTATGTTATACAGCGTAAAGCGGCATGAACGAGCAACAGAGGCAACATGATCTTTAAAGGTCAGGTGTTCATCAATCACAACACCCAGATTTCGAACTGCCTTTGAAGGAGCCAGAGATAGGAAGTCATTTTGGATTGAGATATTGTGCTGTATGGATGGTTTTGGTGGGATGACAAGTAGTTCAGTTTTAGAGAGGTTGGGTTAGAGATGGGGGGATTTCATCCATTTTGATATGTCAGAGAGACAGTTTGAAATTCGTGCAGAGACAGTGTGGTCGTCCGGTGGAAATGACAGATAGAGCTGGGTGTTGTCTGCATAGCAGTGGTAGGAGAAGCCATGTGATCGAATGATCTCACCCAGTGTGGTTGTGTATATGGCAAAGAGAAGAGGTCCTAGTACAGAGCCCTGGGGAACTCCTGTGGCAAGATGGTGCACGGTAGAGGATTGTCCAAGCCAAGATACACTGAATGATCGTCCTGTGAGGTACGATTCAAACCAGGCGTGTGCTTTCTCTGTGATGCCCATGCTGAGAGTGTGGACAAAAGGAAGCCATGGTTGACAGTGTCAAATGCTGCCGATAAGTCGAGCAGGATAAGCACTGAGGACTTGCCTGTCGCTCTAGCTTCTTTTAAGGATTCAGTCACTGCTAACAGAGCAGTTTCACTGGAGTGGCCCTTTTTGAACCCAGACTGGTAAGGGTCAAGCAGACAGTTTTGTGAGAGGTATTCTGTGATCTGCTTGAAAGCCACCCTTTCAATGATTTTGGACAGAAAAGGGAGGAGAGAGATAGGTCTGTAGTTCTCCACATGATTTGGAGGAAGAGATGTTTTTTTAAGCAGCGGTTTAACCTGAGCATGCGAGAGGTGGGAAATGTACCGGATGTCAGTGAAACGTTGATCACATGTGTGACTGCTGCGGCTACGGTAGGACTCTCAGAAAAATAGTTTCTGAGAGTCAGTAGAGCTGAAAATTTTGTCAGTGTGGAAAGCTTTCTTTGAATCAGTGATGCTGGCAGAGAATGAGGACAGTAATTGATGAAATTTCAATTGATCACCAGGATCTTTTGTTTTGGTCATTTCCGTTCCGCAGCTCTAAGATTGGTGCATAGAGACCGGAGGGTATCATTTAGCCAAGGGTGCGACTGAGAGGATCTAGCAGGTCTAGTGGCTAAAGGGCACACGTTGTTAAGACAAGAGCAGAGTGTGGAGCAGAGTGACTCTGTGGCTTCATTCACTTCATAAGCAGAAAATGTGCTGGGAGATGGAAGAGTGGAGGAGACAAGAGAGGAGAAGCGGTTGGGTGCCAGATTGCGGAGGTTGTGGCGGAATGAGACCATTGGGGAGGAAGCAGTGGACCTCCCTTGTAGAGTCGTGCTGAAATGGATGAAGTAATGATCGGAAAGATGCAGCGGTGTGACAGAGATTGTGTCTATGGCAGTTTCTGGTGAAAAATGAGGTCAAGTGCTTTTCCAGCTTTGTGAGTTGGAGGACTTTGTACTAGTTTTAAATCAAATGATGACATTAGTGACAGGAAGCCTGATGAGCTGGGATTGTCCAGGTGAATATTCATGTCTCCAAAGACCATTGTGGGACAGTCGTGCTCAGTAATGGAAGAGAGCAGGGTGTCGAGTTCATCAAGAAAGTCTCCGAGTTGACCTGGTTGGCAATATATGACAACCAAAAAGAATTTTTTCAGTACAGTTACCTGGATGGCATGGTATTCAAAGGAGTTGTATTTAGTGATGGGTAGCAACTGACTGTATATCCATTTGTTGGACATTAACATGCCCGTTCCACCACCTCGGCCAGATGCACGAGAAGTGTGGGAGAAAGTGTGGTTAATTGAGAGAGCAGATGAGGTAGCATTGTCACATGGTTTGATCCAGGTCTCAGTGAGGACCAGTGCATCGAGTGACAGGTGGTTTGCATATGCGGTAATGAAGTCAGCTTTGTTTACAGCTGATTGGCAGTTCCACTGTCCCATAGACAGGTGGGTGTCTTCGCGGGGAGTTGGTTTTAGCGAGCGGAGGTTTTGAAGGTTGTGAAAGTGGTTTGCTGTGTGTGACTTTCCTCTGAAGCCACTGATCACAGGTATAGGATAATGGCACATTTTGCAAGGTGTCGTTGGAGCAGCGTCTGGGTCAAGTTTGTTTGCTCTGTGTACCTGCTCTGTGGACACGCGCAGGTAGACACGTAAGTCTTTACCCCGGAGTGTCTTCACACCGGAGGGGCTGAGACACAAGGGCTGACGCTTCAGTTATGCCACCATACATATGCTGTGCTACTAGTTGGAAACAGGTGTTCATGCAGCAGCTGATTGCAATTGTTGAGACCTAGAGCACCTGATGAGTGTTTTCAGGGAGGGGAGAAACAGCTCGTTCATAGCCCCTGATTGCACTTATTGTTTTCAGCGGTCCCAAACCGGAGCTACTTGACAACAGGATTACCCACAGATGAGTTTCCTTCTCTTTCCCAATGGAAGATAGTGCAAGGTCCAATGGGAGTCAATGGGAATTTGGGGGTAAGCAATATGGACTCTACAGAGAAAGCCATAAGTGTGATGGCAGAGAGAGACCCACCAGGAGAAATAAGACATTAATGCCCACGTTTCGATGTATAAACTGCAGGAAGTGTAGCACTTATGATAGTAAATAGAGTTTAACTACAAAAGTCTTATGCGGTCAGCGTTACATGATACATGACATCATCAAACTAAGTTTGGGGATAAATCTTCAAAAATCAAAAGCTATGAAAAAAGAAACATCAAAACACTGACAAAATGATTTTTTTTGGACTGGGAATGATGTCTCTGTTTAAAGTCTACCAGAGTCTTACTCCACCCACATTTCCTGTTTGCAAAATGTGCCACATGAATGCGGGAGGGCGGGTCTGCGGCAGCGAGTGCCTGCTAATCCCTTACACCCCCACCCTATGGACACTGGCCAGGTGGACACTCACTTCCTCTTTTGGAAAAAACTCTCTTTTCAATGCAGGCCACGAAGTAGTCCAGTAGCAACAAAGCCAGGTCACCATCAGTTCTGAGCTTGTAGCCTCCTTCAGCTCCCTCAATCTAGAGTAGCCACGCCGGTGCTCACTTTGGCTCCGCCCTGATGCCAACATAAAAAGCAAACGTCTTCCTTTTCTTCTTCTTGTGTTTTTTAATGAAAATCTGTGCTAACTGCTAGCATTACAGCTAACAGCTGTAAAGCAGACAAGGAGCGCCCCTACCTGCTCCACAAAACTGTTTAGTATAGTAACTGGCCAGCAGAGGGCTGCAGAGTGGTGTCAGATATGAAACTGGTCAACTTAACAATCACAAAGACCAATGTTACAGCTCTATTGTAAAAAGTATAAAAAAACCTGTCTATTGTTACTTGAATTTAGTCCAGAAAAACGTCCATATCAGTAACAATATGGACATAAACATGTTTGAAAGTTCCACTTTACACTAGACTAGAAATACAGCCAGAGGCACGGCTGAATTAAAGCCTGGAGTCGTGACCATTGTTGTTTTATTTGGCGCTGTTTGCTGTTAGATGGGCGGGTCTGTCTGATACCACACTCAGAGACTATAGACTCACGTAGGGTGGAGTCTCACCAATCTAAAAGCTTAGCCCCACCCTAAAACAAAGAATTCCATCTTAACTGATGATTCTTAATTTGTTGAATTTTCTGTTTTGAGCATGGATTTACATTCATTTTTTGTACTTCCCAACATTAAAGATGAACAGTGTTATGTGACATTCGCTCAGTCTACCTCCACAAACCAGCACCTCCCAGTTTGTGTTATCTCCAGCAGCAGCAGCAGCAGCAGGTAATAATCCCAACAGTCAACAGCTGCCAGCAGGCGAAACAGACAGAACGGGATTAAAGCAGATCACACGTTTAAGTCAGATAATTAGTGACAGCTATGACCAATGTTCTACCACGTTGTCTCATGTGTCTGTTTGGTTTTCTGCTGGTGCTTCAGTTTGCACTGCTCTCCTGTTACAGAAGTGCAGACAGTTTGAGAAGCTTGTTTGTTTGGCAATAAGTAAATAGAAGACTTGGCTTGAATAAGATCTGCTTCTGTGCTGTCAGTTGTAGCCTGGTGTCTGCAGAACCGACGTGGTCTAGCTAGCCTTGCTGCTTAGCAGATGAGGAAAATGGCCCATTGGACCAGATGCGTGTTTACTGGGATGCATATAGATGCTATAGATAATATAGTTTAGGATAAAGATGATCATATCTTTTTAACATTTGTCTTTTCTTTAAAATAATCCATTTAAAAATCATTAAAAGTACTTGTCAAGAATGAAAGAATATATTCTGCAGAAGTTTTTCTGAATCTATGGCCACTCAGCAGCATGTCTGGTGGCTGATTAGCTGTGGTGGACATTAAAAGTAAAAACATTCCAGCAGTAGCAAACCCACATAGAACCACGAGATCTTCTTTAAACGTGTTGGTAAGTAATTAATGGTTAATAAAAGCTTTTAGCTACTTGTTTGATTTTTCAGCTATTTTAACGATTAGATGCCAGCTTTAGATGCATGGTTGACATTGCATTTAGGTCAGATGGCTTTTGTTGTGTTTCTGACCTGCACAACCAAATTAACTTAAAAAAAGAAAACCTGCACATTTCTCACATATCCAGCCCAGACAGTCCTGTCTGTCCTGTCCTGATGGTGTTTGTTGTTTTTATTCTAGCAGCAGCCTGTCGGGATGCTTCGTGGCTGCGCTGCTCACTGATTGGCTGAGCAGAGCGACGTGTACATCAGTCAGTCCGCTGCAGGTAGAACACATGTGGCAGTCCTCAGCCTGCAGGGTGACGCTCCGCTGTTCCTCTCCAGTCTGTCATGACCGGACGCGTTTTTCTATAAAAGTGTTCAGAAGGAGGACCACCTGGCTGTTTCACTTCTCTAGGTGAGTCAATTAAGATCGACCATCCTGTTTTTCCTTCTTGGCACTGCATGGTCACTTTATGAATGATCTTCAGGTCTGCCACAGATCCACCGTTAATGAGATTACGACTGAGGCTATGAAAATGTGATCTCGATGCAAAACCATTTAGTATTTGCATGTTTGATAGTGTAGACTAAAAGTTGTGATGATAGCGTCCCCCTGCGCTCTGCGAGTCTAACCTTGGATTTTATCTGAGGAGCGTCAGGATAAGAGCGACACCATCCTGGAGTTTTCTCACAAGGTTAGAGGCAGAGCTGACCCAAAAGGGCCCTTCTGTTACTGTTTGACAGGGAGAACCACGTGGCCTTACATGTGACGCTGTTGCAGGGTTGAAGCTGTGACGCGGCGGGATGAAGTCCAAAGGGAAGGCTGTGAGATCCAGGAGAACCTGGTCTGACCCGGAGCCAGAACAAGAACCCGACACGGAGCCGGGCTCCAGCGAGCAGGAGGGCTCCGAGGCCTCGGTACGGATCGGAGGCTCCTGGAGAGGCTCCCTGAGGAGCGCAGACCACGGGAGGCGGCAGGGCGGAGTGGGCAGCGGCCGGCGGCGCAGGCAGCAGCGCGGCTCCGGCTCCAAAGAGCGCAGCGTCCGGCGCCTGGAGAGCAACGAGCGCGAGCGCCAGCGCATGCACAAACTCAACAACGCATTCCAGGCGCTGCGGGAGGCCATCCCGCATGTCAGGACGGACCGGAAGCTGTCCAAGATCGAGACTCTGACTCTGGCTAAGAATTACATCAAAGCTCTGACCAGCATCGTCCTGGACATGTCGGGGACCTGCCTGCCATCCGGAGGGGGCCCCTCCGGGGCCAGCGCTGCCAGGCTGCTGCAGTGCTACCAGCAGCACCTGGAGGAGGAGGGGGAGGACGACCTCACCCAGTACCTCACCCACATGGAGAGCTTCAGCCAGGACAGCTAACACAGAGAAAGGAGACAGTGAGACAGGGTCCTGGAGGGGCCACCTCCTAAAGACAGCAGATTTAAAGACTGCAGGGACACGAGTGGACCAAGGGCTTGTCTTTTTAGGTCCCATGTGCTGAGCTGAGGAAGTTCAGAATGTGTGTGTTTAGCTTGCTGGAGGAAGTCATGTTGATGGTCATGCTGACACAGACTCAGGTGTGTTATCTGCAAGACGTTTTGCTACTAAATATAAAAAAGAACATAAACTATTCGAAGAGTCGTCAATAAAGACATTTATTTATTGATGTTGACTGTTTTGGTTTGTTGTGTGAGAGCATCCACGTTGCACATGCAATCATATTAAAGTGACAGTTTGATCATTTTTCTACAGATAACACCCAGTATCTGTACACCAGTGCCTGACAAGTTATAATACTCCAACAATAAACTCATGCTCCAGTCACAAACACTGCAGCATCCACAATTCATTTCTGACACAATAATAAAAATAAAACGTTTTTTTTCCTGCTCAGTCATCATCTGACCAACGGAAGTAGCCGACATGCAAACGCTCTCCTGAGAAAGAGGAAGGTTAAAGCAGCTCTAACAAGTGTACAGTTTCCTTGTATCTATAACGCTGATAGTTACACTCACATTTTTAAATGTCAGTTTCTTTTTAAAATAGCTTATCAGTAGAAACGTAAACGACTTGAGTCTGTCAGCTTTTGGAACTGGCTCTGGAGCAGCAAAGCAGACGGTTTTCTCTGTTTTCTGTTATGAGATTTAAGGTGGATCCATCTGAGAAACGTTAACCTGTTGCATCCAGACCAACACAAACCAGGAGTTCAGCATGTTAGCAGTGATAAGTGACATTAACATATAATTTTATACATTACCTTTTAGACACCTGAGTTACATAGAAAACCAAAAAAAAAACAAAGACATTTCACATCTTGATGAATTACCAATGAAAAATAAAACATCTACTGAGACACAGAGTTATGTGGAAGCAACAAAAAAACTATGTCTGCTTAAATAAGATTAACTACTAAAAAGGACCAAAAATGACCAGATCAGCATTTATCTGACTGCAGAAATCCCTGTTTTGTTGAACTGGCTCACCTGCCCTAAAGACAGCTACCTGCCTATGAGCGCTTTTCTACAGCTTATGGTGGCGTTGGACTCGCTGACTGGGGATGGACGTGAGACGGCTCCATGGAGTTCGCTCTAACCGTGATGTGGTCCCATCCACCCTAGAAGAGACACATGTAATCAAGTTACTTGACATTTTGGTTTGAAAGCTCCTTTGCTTTGATCTGGAAAATAAATGACTTCTGGTTACATATTTTTTTGATTTTTCCAGCATCTTGTTTTAAACTAGCTTTAAAGGTGCATGAAGTCAGAATGACATCCTGTGGTCAAATGTAGGTACTGCAGCCCACTTTCAAAACACACTAGTCATTTTCTCACCACCGTTCTGTGACTTTCTTGGCTCTTGTCATTTACTGATCAGCGCCAGAAGATTCTAGAGGGTGAAGACGAGTCATTCACTGTAGTACCAACTTGTTGGTAATTGAAAAACTAGCTTGAGATGTTTTTAGAGCCAACTATTTGATTCTAATTCACCGTTAGCAGTGTTAGCTCAACGCTAGCTCAGCATTAGCCTCTAGTCTTCATCAGATATCAAGAGTAAAACTTGGTTTCTCCTGTTACTGGCCAACATTCTTACCACAAAGCTTGTGTCGAATTGCAAATGCAGTCACAGACCACAGGCTCACATCTGATTGGCTCTGGAATCAGGAGGCGGGACAAACGGACAAAAAGACTACGGCCCTCTTTGGCCAGTTTGAAAGGAGAAAAACTGACAACCCCTCAGCCAACTGAGAATAAAATCTGCTTCTGAGCAATCTTCCTTCCAACAAGACTGAGACGTTAGACAGTTTTGTGAGCATTTCCCTGTAAAATCCTTACTTGTTGCACCTTTAACAAAGCTCTGCTGGGCCGTGGCGGATGGCAAAATAATGTTATGATGGGAAACATTTTTGAAAGTCAGTTTTCAGATTCGCTCTGACCTGATTTCACCACTAGGGTATGCTAAAGTACCATTCTTACTGATCACACTATTCTAAAAGATTAAATTCAAGCAAAAATACTATGTGTTTTCAGTTTAAATTTGTATTACCTGTCTGAATCCAGGCTGGATCTGTGCCAGGCAGCGCAACGAGAGGAGGCAGGAGAAACCCAACAAAGCATCAATGTTAGCACAGTCAGCTAACCAGGCATCTTCTGTCCGAGGAAAAAAAAGTGGACTATGAAGAGCTTCTGGTAGAATGTCCTGATCTGAGCTGAGACTCTGGTCTTCCGCGCATGCTTCAGGTGGCCGAAGGCTCTCAATTATAGCGTAGGTCTACGGTAAAGATTTCTGTGCCCCAGAGAAACAGGAAATACATCGCACAACCTTTGAGTCATGGTAAAACGTGAGTTTTTTAACTGAATTGAGAACATTTTTAAACTACAGATTATACACAGCATTTATAGTCTGTATATTGTATAGATCCTTTAGTTTAATTTTCAAGGTGTTTTAAAATATTTTGTCATTCCTATTTTCTTCTTCCTCCTCCTGTGAGACTGGTTGATGGGCTGCCACTGCTGCTGGGGCTGCTACCCCCATCATCCATATAAGTGGAGGAACACGGATGGACTGAGTATTAACTTGGATTAGGTCCTTTTTTACTCTGAGATGAGTGCTGTGTGAACACACTCCCACTGGGAACTGAGAACGTCCGTCAGAGTTTGGGTTTCACTGAAACATTAAAGGTGCAATAAGCCAGAATTCTATGGTGAAATAATCCCCAAACAGTCTAATAGCTCATCATGACGTCATCGCTGCGTTCAGCTACAGGTTTAATTACAAGCTAGACATCTGATTGCTGATGTTTTTACCCCGATGCCGTAGTCCCAGGACTGCCCCTTGGGCTCCATGGGTGAGACTCCGAGTCGATGACATACCGTTCCACGGCTCAGACTGTGACTCCCCTGAACTTTATCTGCTATAATCCAAACCTACAGAACCAATCACACACACATCAAATCAACGTGCAAGAACTACATGGACTAAAATGTGATGTGGGTGAGCCTACCTGATTTAGAGGTCCCACAGAGACTTTGCGCACGTTGTTAGAAATGTGTTCCCAGGTGGATCCCTGAGGGCAGTTGGGAGTCACCCCCTGTCTGTACCACAGGTTACCTGGATGGGAGTCAAGAGATGTTCTAACACCCAGACAGATGCTCAGAGGTGATAAGTGTGTGTCAGTAGGGGTTTCACCATTTTCATCTACAGCATAGACGGAAGTGCATCCAACAGAAATCTGCTTCAACTTCTGCTCAACTGGAGAGGGGATGTGGTACCAACAGTCTCCTGCACAGGGAGCCAAAGCACACAATACCACATGTGAGGCTGATCTGCTCTCTTCCTCTGACTAATCTAACATAGGTGTTCTGTTCAGATGCTGACAGCTTCTCCTGCTGACCTGCTGGCTTCTGGGGCGATACCAGTCCCCTGTGGAAGGCAGAGCCGTCTCTGGCGATGGCCCAGACCTGGCTGGCAGCTCCGATGGAGATGGACTTAAAAGGCTGGTCAGTTTCTACGTGGAGCCATGAGGATCCCTGAGACAGACAGACCAGAGTGAGTCATGGTGATGAACTCACATGAGACTGAGTCTGAAGTCTTATGTCTTTGATTTAAGTAATGCAGCAACTCAGCAAAGTTCCAACCTTGGAGCGGTTCTGGGTCATAACTGGGTCCTGTTTCATTATTAATCTTATATAACCAGGGAGAGATCTTGAACCAGTTCACGGGGTGTCAGCATGACTCACAGCAGGTGTCAGTGTGGTGACTCCCAGTCTGCAGAGCACGTCTCCCTTGTTGCCAATGGCCCACACAGGAACCAGATCCACGCTGCTCTGGGCTACACACGGCAGGATGGTCACATCGCTCAGAGGGATCGGAGGGATCTCCTGCCAAGGTCCTGTTGTGGTCAGCTTACACTTCCTGTGCAGCAGGAGCAACCACTCAGATTTTGTTTACATAGAAATGTCTGGTTTTTGTTTGATGCAGGATTAGATTTAGGAAACGACCAGACTCCAGTTCTGCTTCATACCAGGATTAAGTCACTAAAAAGGTGTCACCAAGCAGCTCCAGAATATTTTCCATTTATCATTGATTATTTTAAAATTTTATACACTGAAGTAATTACTTGCAGGTCATAAAATTAGAATTTTGATTTATTTCAGTTATTTGAAACAAAAGTTGTCCACTAGATGGGGCTGTCACGTGTATCACGCTGAGTCACATTTTTACGTGACTCAAGGTGGTACAGTTTCATAAAGCGACATGAATGTTGTTAACCTACACACATCTTTCCATTTTTTTATTATCAAATTTATTGACATGGGAAAAATTATTCCAAAAAGTGTCAGAAATTTCGATAATGATCAACGTTGGATTTATTGCCCAGCCCTACTACATAGACTAGAGCATTACGTCAGACTTACAGGAAATGTGCTCTCATGGCTGAGATCCTATCTGTCTGGGAGATCTCAGTATTTGAGATAAAAAAAAACGTGCAGTACAGCACGGAGTCCATCAAGGGTCTGTGCTGGGTCCTCTGCGAGTTTCATTTGTAGGAGGTTGTAAGGACTGTTTTTTTTTCACCTTAGCAAAAATCAGACACATTTTATCTTTTGAGAATGCAAATATTCTTGTCCATGCTTTTGTGTCTTCACGTATTGATTATTGTAATGCTCTTATTGTCAGGGTTACTGCAGAAAAGCTTAAGAGGACTGCAGATGATGCAGAACACAGTACTGGTTACCTTTTCATGTACGTGCCGACAGTAAATTCTTGCTGCTCAATATGCCCTTAGATCTCAGGGCACTGGCCTCCTAGAGTTCCAAAGGCTAAGCGTAGGACTACTGGAGTGCGTGCATTTTCATATCGTGTGCAGCTATTGTGGAACAGTTTACCTCAAGATAGGGAGCCTAAGTCTCTTCCCCTTATGGTCGGCTCACGGGACTCCGGAAGAACGAAAAAACAAATGTAGGTAAACGGGGCTAAAAGAGCTATTTTCGAATCCGCTTTGCCTTAGACCCTGGATCACATATGTTGTACTTAAATTCAAATGAAAACTAATGATGGGTGTTTCAACCATGCCAGTCACGTACTTCAATTCAATGGTACTTTATTAAGCCCAGAGGGAAATTAGAGTTTCAGTACACACAATTCTGAGATCAGACATACATACATAGGCATAGACACATGACAAGAATTGGTGACTGTGGTCATTCGCAATCCGAGTCGCACTACCTTAATAGAGATCAGAGGGTTTATATGAGGATTGGGTCAGGTGAAGGAAAAAAAGGCACTTCAGAGTTACCCTTCACAGGGAGGGCAGCTTTGCTATGCAAAAAACACCTCCGACAGAAATGCAACAGACTTCAGACATTACACAACATAAGTGTCCACTAGGTGGGGGGTAGGGTTGGGGACTCTCCTCGCATCAGTGCATGCAGCCGCGATGAGCAGCGCTCGTCACCTCCGTTTGGACAGGGGAGGGAGGTAATTGGGTTAGAAAGCACAGTGACTCAAACGATTCAACAGCCTTCACCGGTCACAGTCCCGCCCAGGCTGGGATAGGGAGACAGAGTTGCCATGGCGACGGCAGCATTCCACATTTCTTCTGAGGGGGAGTAATCACTTCAACCTCACGGGCTCAAGGGCACCAGATTCAGATAAGAACTTGTTTTGGGGCCATACAGAGATAATTTCCTCTTTGTCTTAAAGTTCTATTGGTCTCCAACCCCTCTAAATCCAATAATGGCGTAAATTAATCTATTCCCAACCGTGCTGTCCCGTCAACTCTCTCTTTGCTCGAATCCACCTTCTGTGCCAGAGCCTGAATCTCAGCCAAAGTTCCAAACTTACGACTCATCTCGACAATTATATGAGTTTGTGCATTCACAGTGCGGTGTAATCCATCCCTGAGCTACGGGATTGATCCAATATTTCTCGAAAGCTCATTAATTTTCCAGTAAGCCAGGCAACCGCTTAGGCCAAACAGCAGGAATCCCGACACCAACACCACAAATATCCAGACGTTTTCAGAATCCTCTACAGCAGGGGTGGGGAACCCTGGTTCATCGAGGGCCGGTATCCAGCATATTTTAGTTTCAACCCTGCTTCAGCACACCTGATTTCAGTCAGCAGGTGATTAACAGGCTTCTGCAGGGATTGATGAGCTGCTGAACAGGTGAATCAACCACTGAATCAGAAGTGTTGGAGCAAAGACATGCAGGATACTGGCCCTTGAGGACCAGGGTTCCCCACTCCTGCTCTACAGACAGTTGGGAGAGGCAGATCAGGTTCCACTGTTTTCAGGAGTCCATGGTATGCCCAGCTGGCTCTGTCCCAGAGGGGCAACCGGTAGCCGCTTCTCCCGTTCTCATTGTTGAAAAACTCTTGTCAGTTGCGTTGAGAGACCAACTGACCAGGTCCATATTTAATAATTTCCAGTTTCCAGAAAAAATGCAGAAGTGCCGTGCATCCAAAGACAGACAAAGAGCCTTGGGATAAGATAGGAAGGAGAGGAGGAAAAAAAGCGTCTGTACTCTCCAAGAGCCGGAAGAAGCTCTTGAGATTTATCAGCTTGTAAAAGTTCGTAATTAGCATGACTGCAAATCAGACATCGGCATGTCGCATATGTGATGTCACCACAGAATCTCCTCTCCTCTAGAGTAGCTGCTACTGGCCAAATTTATGGCGGTTCTTTGCCCCTGTAGGAAGGATTTAAGGTTTGCTGAACTTACAGCCATTTTCCCTCAGTTTTTCTCCGTGTCTGGTTCGATGACATCACTTTTGTGAAGCACATTTGTAGTCCTGGACTTATGTTCACACAAAACCTAAAATAGCGTTTCCCCCTGTTCGAAAATATGTGCTTTTTTGGTATCAAAATGCATCTTTAAAACTCACGGACATCATATATGAAATCCATGGCACAAAACAAGCAGAATTAGAAAATAGCATTTTTAGCCCCATTGACTTGCATTCATTTTTTCATTCTTCCGGGGACCCGTGGTCCAGTAGATGGGCGTGACTTAGGCTGCCTATGTAGCCTGAGGACATTTTTAAGCCTAAGCTACAGACTTATTTACCTCATCTTACACACCTCGAATTTCAGACAGATTTTCATTGTTTAGGTTCTTTTATTTTTTCGTAGGCCTGGACAATAACAAATTTTACTAGACGATATAGTGTTCAACAAATTATTGACAATAAACAATATTATTGTCGACATTATCGAGAACAAAATAACCACATACGTAATGTTATCATAATAATGCAAGTACATCCTTTAAAATGCAACTATGAAACCTTTAACTTAAGTGATATATTTTCAGCAGTAATGAAACGTCTGAGCTCCGTTTGTTTCCTCTGAGGTCGTAGGGATCTATGTTACTGATTGAAGACAATTTCTGAAAATACCAATCTCTAGACTCCTACGCAATTTTATTCCTGTAAGGGATGTGTTCATCTTTGTTCTTTTTATCCATCCTTTTGACTCTTGTTCAGGTTGACATGCAGGTCACGTGTCTGACAAGGATCGATATGTCGTGGCTGGAAAAATTATTGAGTTCCTTTTCATTTATCGTACGATTAATTGATTTTTTTATCATCCCAGCCCTATCGTTTCTTATTTCTATCTTTCATATGCTTTTACCTGAATCGATGTGGATATTTTAATGATGTTTATACTCGGCTGTTCCGCGCTTAGAATGAAAGCGCTCTATAAATAAAGTTATTATTATGATTATTGCCCTCCTTGTGCAAGGTGTCAATGGTCGTCTTTGGACAATTGTCAAGTCAGCAGTCTTCCCCATGACGAGACAGAGCTAGACTGAGAGACCACTTAAAGGCGTTTGCAGCTGTTTTTAGTTAATTCGCTGATTAGAGTGTGGCACATGGGGTTTTTCACGATATTCTAATATTCAGAGATGTTGAATTTGGGATTTTTATTAGTTGTCAGTTATAATCATCCACATTAGAGGAAATAAAAAACATAAATATATCAGTCTGTGATTAATGAATTAATCAAATATACAAGTTTCACTTTTTGAATGGAATTACTATGTAAATCAACGTTGTCATGATATTCTAATCTTATGACCAGCACCTGAATATGTTAACACATTTTATTTCTGCTATTTAAAACCAGATAACTGGTCTCTCTCAGATCAGTGTTAACTCACTAATCCACTTGTTGTTGTTTGTTTACAGTACCTGGCCCATCGCCGCCGCCGGACAAAGTCCTTTATGGTTTTATAGCCGCTGTACGACCTGCGTGCACGCGCGCGCACACACACACACACACACACACACACACACACACACACACACACACACACACACACACACACACACACACACACACACACACACACACACACACGAAGTGAAAGAATAACCAACAGGAAATAAAGTCTGGGTCAGCTGATGTAGCAAATGAAAACTTACGCGGGGAAATCTGCAGCATACTGCCAGCCTTCTCTGTCAGTTCCCCCCGAGACGCTGTAGTCCACAGACCAGTCGGACACCTGGAGATAAATAGAGACAAGAAGTGAAAGGCTGAAGGCCCCTGCAGGTTATTCTGGAATGAACACCGGTGGTTTCCAGGATTACCAGCATAAAACTGAAGCTGGTTTCGGATCCTTACCCAGGTCCACTGAGGAGATGGAGGTTTTGTACCCGTCTTTGTGCACTCGTGTAATCCAGACACATCACTCCACATGTAGCGGTCCGTCGGAAGACCTCTGAAACACAGAAGCTTGAGTTTGGATGTAAAGATCTGCCTCATCTCAAACAGGAAGTCACTGTGTCCAGTACCTGTTGGTGTAGCCGCTGACTGGGTTCCATCTCTGGTTCTCGTAGATGTAAACACTCTTTACATCAGTCTGTGTGTAAATATTATCTGTGCTGCTGGCCAAACCCTGGAAAAAGCCTCCTCCATAGCCTCCAGTGTACACCCAGGCAGTGTGGTCATAGCCGAGCCCCCACACCACCCCCAGGCTGTTACACTCCACTAGACGTAGGTGACCTCCGACCTGCCTCCAGAACCTGCACAGACAGCACAGAGCCCTGAGCATGAGCCGGAACACACAGGACTATGTCTCCAGCTGGTTCATCTTACATCTGATCACTGGGTGTGGGGTAAGGATTAGCCTCCAGGGCAGGAGACGGCTCGCTGACGAAGACGTCCCCATTACAAGTGGTGGACCAGATTGCCTGCTTGGACGGAGGACCGTGGACTCCCCTGGAGTTGCAGCAGGACACGCTGAGCAGAGCTAGCTAAAGAGAGGGAGGCAAGAACAAAAACACAGATGAGATCAAATCAGAGTGGATCAGATTGCATGCTGCTTGTCTGCTTACACACCCAGTCGTGCATCTCCAGCTCTGTGGCAGCTGCCAGTCTGATGGGCCACCTCTGCTTGGTTCTCTCAGGGGTGTAGAGGGCAAATGTGTGTTTGGACTTGTTCAACACAGGAACCAAGATGGTCACTTCGTTAATGAAGGCGTGCAGGTACTGAGGTGAAAAGCAGAGAAACGTTTAAATAAGGTGATTCGGTTCTTCAAGTGGATTAGAAACCAGCTGTAGAAGTAAAACGGACACGGTTTCAACTAAAAGTTACCTTCTTCTCATCGTAGTAGTTGTAATAGATGAATAAGATGCCGTCTTTGTAGCCTTCTGCTCCTGAAAACTGCTCCAAGGCTAAATGAACATCCACCCACTTGTGTGGCTTCCAGTCTCTCCACCACTGAATGGCTCCCTTCTTCACCCACACGGACTGGCGAGGAAGCACACGTTCAGCTAGCAGATGGAACGAAACTCTGAGCTTGAAGGGACTGTACCTGCTCAACAGCTTGCTTGTAGTGTCTGAAGTTATCCAGCTCTCTTTTGGACCTTTCACTGAGCTGTTCAAAGATTTGTTTCCTCCAGGCGGCCATCTGGGACTGAGTCATGGACAGACTCATGGACTGGACGGACTGAAGCAAAGCTGCAGGAAGACGGGCAGAAGGTTACAGAATGGTCTGGGACATTCTGGGGTTCGGGGTATCTGTGTACCGTACACGAGGTGGTCCCAGAGCAGTTAAACCAGCTGAGTGGAGAGTGGCTGTCCACCGAGCAGCCCCCACCGCTCACCCACGCCCACAGAGGGCGCTCATCAGCCCCGTCCTCCATGGCAAAGGTGTAGGTGGCCACTGATGATAGGCTGGAAGAGTCAGCTGCAGACTGACCATGCTGGATCTGAGTCTCCTCCAGGTCTACATTACTCCACTGGGGGTCAGGAGCACCACTGGACTGGTTCGAGGACAGAGGGGGAACATGTACTTCACCAGGGATGGCCGCCTCCTCCTCCTCCTCCTGGACAATGGCTGACCCCACATCTCTCGAAGCCTTTCCAGACTCTCGATCAGAGACGAGTTCAGAGATGAAGCTGTCGCTCGTGACCTTGGGGATGCGTGGTGTAGGAGCCTCAATGGACAGGTTAAAGGTGGCATCCCCGAGGGGGTCTGGGGCGGTAGATGTGACGTGACCGAAGGCTCCTTCTGCTGATCCTCTCTCCGTGTCTGAGTCCACGTTCGTCACTCCTGACGCATCCTGCACCTCGCCAGAGAAGAAACAACCGGCGCTGTGGAACGGAGGCCAAGAAAACCCACGTTTACCATCTCAGTCAGGCCGACCGGTGCTCATGCTCATCCTCAGATGAAGATCACCTGTGTGATTAAGGCGAGCTCACCTCTGCGCGCTGTTGGCGCTAGCGCTGGAATGGGATCTCTCTCCATCTCGAGGAACGCTGATGGCCTTCCAGGTTTTACCGCTCAGCTCAGAGGAAGTCACACCTTGTCTGAAGCACACCGTCCGGTCCTCACAGCTGATAGCCCACACCTGAGCAGGGCAGGTAGACTTCAGTATGCGTGCTAACAGGAAGGATCTAGAAGACTTCTGATGTTTGCTCCACCTCTAACATTTGCTGAGTCACAAATCACCTGATCATTGAGCCCAACGCTGATCATGATCATTTCCCCGACCATGCTGATCCAACCAGAACCGCAAGGGTTGTGAGAGTTCACCCCACGCCTGAACCACACCTGATACAGCACCACATTATGGAGATGTATGGAGTTACCACCTGTACTCATCAGGGTGAGAAGCTTTATTGTCATCTACCTGCTTCATGTCCACACGCACACACACCTTTAGCTTTGGGGTAATTCATTATGATGTGTTTAGTAAACAGCAGATTCTGACTCAATAAAACCATCTTCTCACTTTATTGTTCTTGGTCACGGCCCAGGCTACGCTGGTTCCTACGGCGACATGGGCGGCCCCCACCTCAGGGCTCGGAGACTCCACCACCACCCAGGAAGTGCCTGCATCAAAGGATATTATGTTTTCAGTAACCATCTAGCTGTCTCTCTCTCACACACACACACACACAGCCCCACCCACCTTTAGGACAGTCACGGCTAATGCCCTGCCTGACAATGAGTTGCCCATCCCACAGCACGGCCCAGACGAGATCCCCTGGGCCACAGCTGATCTGGACCACCTCCCCAGGCAGGGGCACCTCCTCCCATGAAGAACCCTCAGGATTATGGTGGCAGACTCCGTCTCTGAACCACACCTACGAGAGACAACATGCCTGAGAGACGAAGTAGAGCGGCAGCAGCAGCACAAGAGTCTGATGCTTCAGATAGTCTGTGTGTGATCTTGCTGTTGACATAAAACACTCTAACTGATCTGTGGGAATAAAACAACCAATAAATTAAGTTACTATAAATAATTAGAATAAGATGATGTTGGATGAGAGGACGTGCATGTCCATTAATGCATGAGCGGCACCTTTCCCTGCAGGGACACAGCCCATAAGGACAGCTGTCCTCTGGGCTCCTCGCTGATCTCCCAACCTCCACAGCTCAGGTCACTGAAGGGGTCAGGGAAGGGCGTCTGCTGTGAGGGGATCTGTCAAAACACAGAAAAGATCAGCACACCCGCACACACACATGCACGCTCGCCCACAAACATATACACACGCACACATGCATGCACACACCCGCACACACACATGCACACTCGCACACAAACATATACACACGCACACACGCATGCACACACATGCATGCTCGCCCACAAACATATACACATGCAAACATGCATGCACACAAACATGCACACAAACATATACACACGCATGCACACACATGCACGTTCGCACACAAACATGCACACAAACATATACACATGCATGCATACACATGCACGTTCGCACACAAACATGCACACAAACATATACACATGCAAACATGCATGCACACACACACATGCACACAAACATATACACACGTACACATGCATGCACACACATGCACGCTCGCACACAAACATGCACACAAACATATACACACGCATGCACACACACATGCACGCTCGCACACAAACATATACACACGCACACATGCATGCACACATACAAAAATGCACACACTCACATACACACACGCAGGCACAAACATACACATACATGCGCACACGAACGCACGTAGACACACCCACCCACACACACCTTGGCCCAAGTGTCCATGGCCTTGTACCTCCTGTGGCGGAGCCATCGCCTACGACGGACACACGAGTTCCACTTCTTGTCTTTGGTGTAGGTGGCAGGAAAGTCCATGGCGTACGTCCAGCCCTGTCAGGACAAACATGTGACCCACTGGAGCAAGGCCACAAACATAAAGTACAAATAAAAACAAACCTCTTTCTCTGTGGGCTCTCCCTCAAAGTTTTCATCCACATACCAGTCGTCCTCCCAGTCCCAGCTGTGGGAGGGCAGCTGGAAGCCGTTCAGAGGCTGGTGTTGGAGACCTGTGACATCACTCCACTGCCAGCGGTCGCTGGGCAGCAGATGATCAGAGAAACCATCAACTGGATTCCATCGCTGAGGGAACAAAACAGGCAGAAATGGTTATTGTGGGTTCAGATTAGAGCTAAGAAGGCACAATCATGGAGTATCACATTACTTTGGACTCTGGAAACATTTAGAGTCTTTCTGCTGTGGTCCAATCAGTCTACCTATCATGTGATGATCTAGGATTTTTTTGTGTCTCAAGCTGAAGTAAAAACTACTCTGTTTTTGTCTTGATGCAGCAGGTAGCTCATTAGATGGACCCTGTCATAAAAACAAGTAAAAACGCTTTGGGACAAAATAAAGAGAATAAACATTTCAGACTGCTTAGGAGCTAGCATGAGGAACAGCAAAGCTTTTTAGTTTACCCTCCAAAAAAGACACACTACCTGGTTTTCATAGGTCTCCTCCTGGTAGCGGATGGGCAGCTCAGAAGCGTGGACGTTTAGGTAGACGCTGTTGTCAAAGGCAATGCCCCAGCAGCACTGCTGAGTTGCTGTGACCCGTTTGAACTCCATGTGGGCATTGCTGCACTTCTCCCACTGCTGCCCCGCTGTGGACAGGCTGTAGACCTGCCCATACACATCCACTGCCCACAGCTGAGAGACAGGCATGGCTGCACCTGTGGGTAAACATGTATATGTACACTCACCAACCACGTTAACAGCTGCTGATTAACACCAATCACATGACAGCAGCTCAAAGTGGATTTAGTCATGTGGACATGGTGAAAAGGACTTGATGAAGTTCAAACTGACTCTAAAGTTGGTTGTCAGCTTCACACAGGCTGGTCTGAGTGTTTCAGAAACGTCTGACCTACTGGAATTTTCCCTCAAAACCATCTCATGGGGTTTACTGAGACAAAAGAAATCCAGGTAAGAACAGGAAACTGTGTGCCAAATGATTACATTTGGAGTCTAATCAAATATAAAACTGCCATCAATCAAATGAGCACACTCCACAAAGTTTTGGCTAGCAGCGCTAGACAAAGCGAGTGTTTTCCAAACCCTGTCTCTCAGAGAGACTTGTCACTTAGAAAATGTTCCCTGACTATGAAACTTTGGCTGAATAGCACTTGTTCCTGTCTCCAACATGGCGACACATCCATGAGCCTGTCTGAGGAAAAAGTCCAGAACCTCAAATCCTCTTCGGCTCAGAAAGCTCCATCTGATTATGCACAAGCAGGTGACCTGTCAACGCGGTCGGGTTGGACCTGTTCAGGTCTACAGACAATCAATCAAAGATTAATCCCAGAGGGAAATTAGAGTTTACATTTAGAATGGTCATACAGATATAAAATCAATGCAGTAAAATAAAATGTATTTTATTTAAAGAAGGACTGCACACCATCAGAAAATGTAACTCCACTCCTAGTCAAGATTTGAAAAATGCCATGAAAGTGGCAGCACTAAGACGTTTTTAGACCTAGATTCTGGATTTAATCAAGTTTACACAAACATGTCAAAAATGCACAGAAACCGAAAGATTGCATTTGTGAAGACCCAATTGTACATTTTATAGGCAAAAAAAAAGAAGTTATTTCGGGGTTTAGTTACTCTTTAAATATCCATTAATTATTTGACATGCACAGAGAGCCGCACCAGATGGATGGAAGAGCCGCATGTGGCTCCAGAGCCTCGGGTTGCCAACCCCTGTCCTAAACAAAGTCCCGAGGCGTGTTCCGCAGCTTCGGCTGCGGGCCAGACTGACAGCTAGCAGCGGGCGGGGCTGAGCTCTGAACAACGCTGTCAGGTGCAGACTGAGTGCAGTGAACTGATCACTCATAGCCCATTCAATATGGGCTTTATTTTCTGCGTGAGAAATCTCATGTGCGGCGTGAATGCGTGTAAAACAGGAAAATGCGTGAGGCTTGAGAGCTCTGCATCATGTGACTCAGCTGAAATGAGGCTAATAAATGAGCGGTTGTTGACGTGTGTTGATCATCGACATAATATACGGGTGTGGATGCGTAACAAGCTAGTGAGTGTTAGCATAAAGTGTAATTAAGCCACACTAAACAGTGGGAGGTCTGACATGAACGTATGAGCAGCCGCGGACACCTCCTAGGTAGTTTTCGGTAAGAGAGGATTAGCTCAGCCCTCCCTCCATAATAAGATAGCTTCTGTAACCGAGTTTAAATGAACTCACCTCGAGCTTCTGATCATGAAACGTCTCCGGGGGAGAGTGGAGGCTGCCGCTGCCTGCTGTCCGTTTCCACGGCAGCGGGTGTATGGAGTTCAGACCTCCAGCAGCAGAGGGCGCTGTTGAACCGTGCATGCAGGTTTTAGCTCACAAGATCAAAATGTACACGTTTGATTACAGTGGCTGTGTCTCAATTCAGGGTCTGCATCCTACCTCGGCCGGATTCTTCGGCCGGTTACGTCACAGCGCCGCGACTCGGCCTGTCCCAATTCGAAGACTCCTTCAAATGCGGTCGACGAATGCGGCCTTCTTTTCGCCTGAATGAAGGATGGGTCGGGTGTATCCTTCAATAGGTAGCATTTCCCAAGATGCCTTGCGGGCCGGCCGGCAGAAAAACTTAAAAACAATGGCGGACAGTGAAGCGGGAGCTGTCGGAGAGGATTGCGCTTATAAATGTAAGTATAAACTTGAAAACTGTCAGTTTAAGGACTTTTTGTGATACATGAACGTTATTTTAGTTAGAAATGTTACAGTAAAAGTGCTTGTATTGCGGTCTCGGCTCGTATGTTCGGCCGCGCTCGGTGTCGTACTTCTCCCACTACGTTTCCCCCTGATTTTAATAGAAGTTTGTATTTTAGGACCAAAAGAGAAAACCAGGGAATTTATTAAGCTTAGGGCGGAGATGGACCACATGATCACCGGAGCAAAGTATTCGGCGGCTGTGGCATGGAGGTACAATAACATCTCATATTTTAAAAACTCGTTTGAGTATATTTTTTTCTGCGAAAACATGAAAGGAATAACCCGTTGTCCTCTTTTCTCTTCCTGTTTCTTTTCTTACATGTTTGTTAAGACTATTCTGGAGAAAATGGGCATCCAGGGGAAGGTGCCAGCGATGAGCTTCTGGGGCTGATCTGGGAGGACATGAGGCTGCAGAGCAGCAGAGAGCACAGGAGAGAAGGAAGAACTTTGACAGCTTTTTACTTTGCTAGAAAAAAATGGTTAATGAAGATTAAACATGTACATGTAAAAGAAATATCTAAATAAAATCAGTTCTGCATTAAACTCTTGAATTTTATTTTTGTTTACAAATGAGAATTGTTTAGGGTATCCGCTGGGTCTTGAAAAGTCTTAAAAGGTGATAAATCGGTTTTGGTCAAAGTAAGACCCTTAGAAAGTATTAAAAACTATTATCACATCTTTGCTCAGGCTCAGCTAGTCTAAAGTATTTTCTCTGAATTAGCTCTCCAACAGTCAAGGAAATGATTAACCCCCAGAGACCCACGGTTGTAGTATTACAACATCAGATTTAAGTCTACAAAAATAAACCTTCCCCATTTTTTTTCTTTTTAAAACCACATTTACATTGCTAATAGGTCCTATTCAGTTCTGCAACACTATTGGCTGTTAAAATGTGTAAATAGGCCCGTTTATCTGGCCTCCTAGAACAACATGTGAAAGGTTAAAAAATATTTTGCAGTTGTTTTCTAAATTTGGGTTTCTGGGGGTTAAAAAGCTAAATAAAACGTCGAGCTCCATCGTTTAAGGTTCCTTCTGCCTTCTGCCCATCGGTTCCACGGTTGCTAGGCGACGGAACGTTCGCCGAGGGAGTTCATGAAGGCTAGGCCTGTCCAAATTCACAGCCGTTAACATCCGGTCTACCCGGCCGACGGAGGACGCAGCCCACGTCGGCCGGGTGGGCTGGGTCCTTCGAAGGATGCAGACCCTGAATTGAGACACAGCCTTTTAATGTGTTACTTTACATTTTATTTTTTAAAGCTTGGAGTATTTTTTAATTTAACTGTATTGTGTGGTGTATTCTACTACACCACTTCCTGTTATAGGATAAATAGTGATGTTTTTGTAGTGGTGGGTGATGGGACATATGATCGGGACCTCCCTTGCAAAATGAAAATACTGCATTTTTCAAAATTTGCTGCACAAAATATCACTGACACGAGTCTTCCTTCAAAATAAAAGCGTTAACAAGATTACAAGATTGCACAAAATGTCTCTGCTCCCCAGTGCATAACACTTCCCTACTTGACAAGAGATCTGATTGCTTGAGACCAATGACTGTAGAAAAAGAAAAAGCTCGAGACTGAAAGGTCTTCACTCAGAAATGAGAAATCAGTTCTCCATTTTTGAGAACCATCTCCAGAAAAAAAGGTGATCTATTGCAGCAATTCCGAGAAAGCATTCAAGTCTACATTTCTCCACTAAATTGTAACCCTCTCACAGTAGGAATGGCCTACTCAGAATATATTTAAAAAAACAGAGACAGAAATATTCTACAAATAACACATTTGATTAAATCTTAATGTCCAATATGGTGGTCCCAGTTTTCTAGAAGTGGGACCAGAGAGAGTGTTCCAGCTGAGGGATTGGACTCAGATTCATAAGGTGTAAAAATGCTTTAATCTGGATCCTGTGACCATAGACCAGGTTTTCACTCCATTAGCGTGAGGAGGACTCAGGGCTGTCCTGAGTTTTGTTGCAGATCACATGGGTCATCTCCAAGCCTTCAGTGTGCACAGGGGTGGTTCACTAACAAGTGTGAACAATCCCACCTGGAATGGTCACTTTGTACTAGGAGTGTGTAGTCTGTACCTCCAGTATCCTGGTGTCTTGTTCGTGAGTGATGGCAGGAAGGAGGTGAAGATGAACCAACACATGGAGGCTGTATCTGAAGAGGAAGTTACAGGTAGCCTGAAGAATGAACCGAGCCTAGAGGTACAGCTTTTTATTTTAGATTTTCCAACCTTCAACTATGGTTATGAGATTAAATTCCGACTGAAATCATGAGATTCCAGACGTAAGCAGAATGAAACAAGCTTTCTCGGTAGGGGGCGGGGTTCAGACATAGGAGACTAAGGAGCTACATAATCTGGATGGAGCTTAGAGAAGAGATGCTGCTCTTCTGCATAGAAAGAAATCAGCTGAGGTGTGACATCTGGCTCTCAGGTGTGTCGCACTGAGAACCTGGGGTAGACCCAGAACTCCCCATAGAATCTTCCAGGAGAATGAGTTGCTGTGGTAAGAAACCTCTGGATCTGTTACCTATGCAGTCTGACTTTGGATAAGTGCAAACACATTATTTATTCTGCTGTGTGGTTCTTATGTCTTGGAGACTGGGAGCAGGCCAGAGTCATGTAAAACACCAGCTACCTCAGCAGGCTGACAGCTGGGTGACTGATGGAAATATTGCATTTTGAGTGTTTATATAAATGGTGAGAACAAAACACCTCTTGTTCTGTGAAAATAGCTCCAGAGCCCACCAGTCGCTCTTGTCTCTTGCTCATAAATAACCAGAAAAAATGCACAGAAGTGCTTTTCATCTGGGGTGTCTGCTCAATTCCTCCTCCTCTCAATAAAAGTGGACCTGAAGCTCCTGCAAGCTCTCGGCTGACCAGGTGGTGCTGATGTCACCACAACAGTAAAGCAACAGAGGAAAAAGGAGATAAAACAGCTGAACACAATCTGTGCAACATTTATCTTGTTTTAATGGGGAGGAAAAAGCCTCAACTGGATAACACAAACAAAGAAAATAAAAAGCATCAACTGTCTCAGAGCGGTGTTTATGGATCAATACATTGATTAGTTTTTAATCACAGAGCAAACACAGGGCATAAAAGTCAAACAGCAAGGACTTTGTTTACATAAAGTTCAACTGTTAAAACCCATCTCATTTAGCAGGAAGTGCTGCTTTGAGTACATGCAGCACGCTACAAATAGTCATAAAAAGGCAAATTACTCCAACAAAAGTTAAATTAAAACAAGCAGGAGCCGTAAAGTCTAGATGAAGACTGGATCCAAGCTTCAGGTGGAGCACAGATGGACTTCTGTTTAGATGTTTATTTACAAACGCCATACAAATTACCTCCATATAAATAGCTTTCTGATTACAATTTTTTTTAAATAAAACGCTAAAAAAAAAACAAAAAAACAAGCCCTTTACCTAACGAGCCTCTCTCCCTTCATCCTCACCTCTGCCTGCCCTCTCAGAAAGGCAAAAATCTTACCAATAAAAACAGAAATAAGATGTTTTTGGCAAGTCAGGAAGGCGGGTCCATTTCCTCAGACAAACCTGGACCGCTTTGTCCAATCACAACACTTTAAAAGGGACAGAAAACTCCAAAATAAAAAGAGGCGGGTCTTTACATGCGCCTTCAGCTCACAGGCAAGGACAGCCTCCATCACAATGAACCACTGATGTTTTTTTTTTAATAAATAAAGTCAAATAAGTTTCCTCAAACCAAACTGAATGAAGCAGGTGTTTGATGTAGTTTGAATGAAAACACTTTGAGCTGGAAGAAAAACAACTTCAACTAAGACTTTTGAGTGTTTTGGAGTTATTTAAAGTAAAAAGGTTTCATGTTTTTGTTTTTAAAGATCTCAACTGATCTACGTGTGTGTGAGCGAGCGAGCGAGGGTCTAGCGGAAAACGCTGAGTGCCTGTTCTCCAGGAGACACTCCTCTTCCTTTGCCTCTCAGCTGAGATTCACTGCATGAATTTATTGGAAAGGCTGGTTAATCAACCCACCGATAAGTCGAACAGTAATTTATCTGTTATCGGCCATCCCTGAGCTTACGTGGAAGGAAAAAGAAGCAGAAACAGCATCACGCTGAAGCCACTGGCTAGGTTTTATTAACCCCTGAGGGTTATTTTTGTTCATCGGTTGACTTCTGGTAAGAAGAATCATATTTCAGCTTGACTGAACCTTATCTGAGTTTTTAAAAAGCCTAAATTTAGGAGCCATTACAAAAACTAATAGTTTGCTTTCTCTTTGCTTCTGCTTAAGTCAACGATTCGTTTATCTAAAAGTAGCACTGGAGCAGTAGATGTCCTTAAACAGAGCAGGGGTCAAGCATGCAGGCTGGTGAGATGTAAAACGTGGATTATGGTGTTCGGCACAAGGCCCGTGTACGATTCCCCGGTGACTAAAACTCCTAGATGGCTGGCGCTGATCGATCATTTGTGACTGTCGGCCTCAGCTTGACCATAGAAAAAGGATTACCTCCTCTGCAGAAAATAAGAGAGAAAGTCACACATGTGATTTAGACACATCTAAATTCTTCATTCTCCCTTATGTAGCATCACCCACCCTAAAAATGGAGCCTTTGCAGTCCCATTGACTAAAGACACCTGTCAACGAGAGAGAAGAAGAATCCCTTAATAATGCAGCAGCAAACTTCATACCAAAGAGGAGCACAAATACGACATCTTTTCTTCCAGCAGGTAAAGTCAGTCACCAGACTAGTTAGAAAATATTTATATGGAACAGCTGAACCTCCTGATCCACCAGATCACTGCAGCTGAGCTCCGACACATCTGAGGCCGACTGGAGTTCAGAGGAATCTAGACAATCTAGCAGGGCTGGAAGGAGACACGTACTCATCTCTGTCATTCCCCTGGGGACAAGAATAGTCTCACTGCCAAACTCAGGGGCAATAACGCAGAGGGACACTGATCCAACCCCTGATCTTTGTGGGCTGAAGAGCACCGAGGAAGACTATGAAAGGCTGTAAAGATAACCTGCAGGTGTCTCATCATCACATGCTAGTTTATTCATGCATGCGGTCGTTTTGGATCCGATCATGTGCTGAAATTAATCTGACACTGGTTTAAGTTGAATAAATCATCCCCAGTTCGGCTGCTCAGCTGCAGTGATCAGGAGCATCATAAGAAGTAAAAGTCAGAAGTCCCAGAACAGTTCTGAAAAAACAACATCATTTATCCAGAGTCAACAAATACAAACCTGTTATTGTTCCTGTCTGAACAAAGGTCAGAGTAAAATGCCTCTTTATTAGTGGGATTTTTAGATTTCCGTCTGTACGGGGCTGCGTTCTCTTTGAAGGACTTTGAGGATGCTGAGGTGTATTTCATGGAGAAGCCCTGATGCAGCAGACAGAGATTACAGTGCAGAGAGTAGGGTCCATGTAGAGGAGCAGGGAAGGTGGAGGGGATGAGGAAATTGTGTCTGCCTGCAAGACTCATCTATTATCAGCCTTCACAGGCCAACCACAAAGTGAAACGGTGTCTTTACCCTTTATACTTAGTTAGTTTTAGTGCTTCCCTCTCGGTTTTTGCTGTGGTGAGTTAAACAGGAAGAGCCTGGCGTAGACGTGCCAACACATTCTTTAAGGAAACAAAAAAGGGACTAAGGAGTGTCTGATGAGCTGTGGTTTAAGGGCGTGGAGGCCTGACACTGCCTCAAGGAGCTCTCGATAAGACTTAATTAGTCAGACTGAGGGTTCGACCTGTGTGATGGCATTTTGTGGCGTGGGCGTGCCACAGGTGAAGCCTCAGCTCAGGTCAAGTAGTATCAGGAAACACTGGAGTGTTTTTATTTAAGGTCCAGCACAGATTTCCACGTCATGAAGGTTTAAATGGGACAATCAGAACAGCAGGTGTGTTGTTGCAGCTAAGGTGAGCGTGTCCTTTCATAATGGCTGCAGCACAGAGACATGTCCACCAGAATGTGTCCTGGTCTCTGGTTCTGGAAACAGTCCAGTCCCTTTGGAGGCTGACAGCCACAGTTCAATGTGCCTGTCAGTCAACTTTCTGCCCTTTTTTGCAAACCAGAGGTGATTTAAACCAGAATGAAGAACAAAAAGGTTCTTCATTACACATACAGATAAAATAAAAACTGTTAAATGTATATTTTACTAAACTCATCAGGCAAAATGCGATTCAGAGGATGTGGGATCAGATTTCCAGTACCGACCGTGTTCTGTTGTGAAAGTGTTTGGGACGCCACTGAACTGGGTTGTGCGAGGTCGCTGTAGTCTGGTGGTGGAAGCAGCACGGGCTCATAAATATCCTCTTCATCCTCCTCCTCCTCCTGCAGACTGACCACACTCAGGCTCCTCACCGGCGTGCTCATGCTACTGATGGCATAAAAACCGAAGAGTTGTCAGACAACAGAGGTGAAACAATGCTTGGATCCGATTGGTTGTGGTGTTCTCCCACCTGTTGGACATCACAGGCTCAGCGTAAGCTCTGCAGTAGGATGAAGGGAACCAACCACGCCTGATAACAGAGGAGCAATCACAAAGATCAAGCAACACTGTTTATATGAAAAAAGTGTCCTGTTTCATAAATATGACTTTTAATCAGGCAATGGGGCCTCATCAGGGAGGCCTTCTAACCCCACAGGCCAGCTTAAATCTTAAATGTATAGTTTAGTGTTTTAAATGCTCTTTCTGTGTAGAAGCCATGAATATTTAGGACATTAAGACAGAAAATCCCTCATGAGTCAAAGACACAAAAATGCAAAACTATATGTGCAGATTTTGAGTTGGAACTTGTACATATATGCTTTAGAAATTTGTGACATATGATGCGTTAGCATCCTACTTAGGTCTCACCTTTCTTTTAAACATCCCCTCAATGTAATCCCAATTCTCAGAGTCGTTTCTCATTTCTTAGTTCCACAGATGTGCAACATCTCTGAGAGGTTGCCACCAACAGACACAGGACAGTGGGACACCGACTAACCCTTCATATATGGCTGCCTAAAAAGCCTCCATCCTGGGAAATGACTTATGTCTAACAGAACTGATAAGATGACGGCTAGCCAGGTACAAAGCAGATTAATGGCATCTTAAAAAGTTCCACTCTCCAAGATTGTGCAAATTTGATTGAATTAGGTTTAATTTGAGGAAAATACTAAATAATTTCTGCCAGATTTGACACCTAGATTCACCACAAACTCTACATTTTGCTGCCGCTGTGATATTTTCACTTGTAATGAACCATATAAATTATAAGTAAGTGATTGTAATGCATATTTCAAAGCAGTGTAAATATCTACAAAATGAAGTAGCATAGATGATTATGACATGTAGCTGTTTTAACACACTAGTCTGGGTTACACTCAGATTAAATCAGTCCTGAAGGAAATAAACTATTTCTCTGAACAGAGGCTGCTCAGGAAGTTCTCTATAATTGATAAGGCAGATTTATTGATATGTTACACAGAAATATCTTTCTAAATAACCAAACTTTCCCTTTAAAGCTGTTTTCTGGAGTTTCCCCCTTTCAGAAATGATGTATGATTTTTCGGAAATCCTTAAAAGTGATTATCTCATCATGTACTGTGATATAATATAAGCAATAAGTCTTTTTTTTTTTTTTTGCTAAGTACGCCCCCCTGCTCCGCAGAGCTCCATTCAATAGGAAACTGAGTGCTGACCAGAACTAACGAATAGCGTTAGACTACCACTTTTTTGCTTCAAATTTAAGGAAGTACCTCGGCTGATGCAGAGCTGATGAACTTTTCACAGACAAGAAAGTCTCTAAAATATAAATATATGAGAACACAACAGGTCATGAGAATAATACTCGTAAAACAGCGTGCTTTCGCTCTGTTTCTCAGCTAAGAAGCACATTTATAAACAGAAACGTGAAGTCACCATCTTAAAAAACTGTGCGACAGACTTTTTGTGTGATATGCTTGTCGGCCACTAGATGGTGCCATCAGATAAGAGAAATACTCCGGAAAGAAGCTTTAAATCTTCTTTCCAGGCTGCAGGCTATGGTAGCGTTGTTTAAAAAGTTGTAATTCTGCTTCCAACCAGTAGGAAACATATGAAGTGTTGCTTTAAGGCAAAAATACTCCCAAATTTTAGGGACGTTGGATATTATCGGTCTAGTGTTGCTATCAGCTGATATTGGCATTAAAATTCAATGTTGGAAATTATTGATATCGGTTTTCAGTCTTTTAATGACACATCTTCTACATACCATACACATATTATACATGGGGGGGGGGGGGGTGGGGGGGGGTGGGGGGGGTCCTACATTGATCAAAATGTCTGGTTTTGCATCCAGAAGCAGGGATCGAGTTATGGGGGCTAAATTTCATTCAGGGAAAGATCCAGTTTCTGCCTATATTACAATATTTATGGACTCCCAGTGTAGTGGCATGCTGTAGAGCGGAGAGGACTCGTTGGTACGCCCGCTGCGTCCGGCGCAAGATGAATTCTCAAAGTGGCGCAACAAAACATTATTATTAACACATGATCATTCATATCTGTTTAAATCCTCTGGTACTCTCTTTTAATCATTCCTGACGTGCTCAGCTCATCGCGTGCTGCAGTGATTTCACTTCACTGGCTCAGCATCGAAACGCGCACTCCGCTTTGCGGTCAGGAGATCTCTTTGATCTGCTTAGTTCAAAAGTAACTGATGAGGTGAAAAAGTAAGAATCCAGGCAGCAGTTTTTCTGGAGAGTTTAGAGGAGATGCAGGAAGATGAGAGACAGACAGGACAGGAAAATAGTTAAATAAAAACAAGAAAACAAAGCTTGAAAGTCAAATGTAGGTAGATTTGTCTCCACTACATGTTTTTACCTGTATAAAACACTAAGTTATACACATGTAATATTTATACATCTGATACAATTCAGATCACCTTCAAAACTCACACACTCAGGGCCATTTCAAGGCATTTTGGGGGCCAAGGCAAACCGAACACCCCCCTATCCCTAACCCATACATAATAGACATGCCACCATTACATTGTTAGCAGCAGAAATAAACTGTTATTACCATTTCCAACACAAATGCAAGTTAATGAAATGCATTATATTTTACTGGATATATTTATGTGTTACTTTGACTAAGATAAGTGTTATTAATACAAACCTAAAATGTTACTGAAATGTTGGTTAAATATTAAATAATATTTTTAACTATAAATAGCAGATGGGAAAAGAGAACTAAATATTAATCTAATGCACATTATTGAACCTTTTAGAATATTTAGACTTCAAAAAAGTGAGACAGTTGAATGCGCAGTATTTCCCAGAGTATAAGTCGCACCAGCCATAAAATGTATAATGAAGAAGAGAAAAAACAAATATAAGTCGCATTTTGGGGCGAAATTTGATTATTTTTCTTACAAAATCTGAGGCCAAGCATTTCACACTGCAAGACAAGCACCGGTAACAATAACAGAATAAACAACCAGCTGTTGCATCAGCGCGCCACGGTCTCCAGCAGAGGATGGCGGTGTTTCAAACTCTCCCAGCGGGCGGGAGAGGTCATTCCCGGGCCGGAGCCAGCCCGCAGAACCCCACCACAGGCTGCAGCAGGTGATGGCGGTGTTTGAAACCCTCCCAGAAGGACAGGGGAGCTCATTCCTGGGTCGGAGCCCGCTGGCAGCAGCGCGGTATAGCCTACATAATTTGGTATATAAGTCGCAGGACCAGCCAGACTATGAAAAAAAGTGCGACTTAACAGTCCAGCAAATACGGTATGCATGTGCTGGCGCAAGGTCAGGATGGTACCACCTATCCCTCAGTTTTAGCCAGGAAAAACCCTGAATTACTATATAATTTATTATTTATTTGATTCGGAAAAGGGTAGAATGCCTTCTCTTGGTCAGGGACGAGGTCCTGCTTCAAGAGGAGGAGTTTAAGTATCTCAGGGTCTTGTGGGGGGAAAATGGAGCGGGAGATCGACAGGCGGATTGGTGCTGTGTCTGCAGTGATACGGACGTTGTACTGATGTGTTGTGGTAAAGAGAGAGCTAAGCCAGAAGGCAAAATTCTTGATTTACCGGTCGATCTACGTTCCTACCCTCACCTATGGACAAAGAACGAGATCCTGGATACAAGCGGCCGAAATGAGTTTTCTCTGCAGGGTGGCTGGGCTCTCCCTCAGAGAGAGGGTGAGTGATAGAATAATCAGGCCTGAGCAGCGAAGCTGTGAAGGCCTATTGAATCTGCTCCGTTTTTTTCCTCTTCCGCGTCTTTGAATGGCCTTTAGGGGGTCTTAGCATATCCAAAAAGTCACCAAATTCTGGCCCAATATAGAAAGTGCGTGAAATTTACGTATATCACTGGCAATGTGAAAGTTGGTAAAAAAATGTTTCGACAGCGCCCCCTGGAAAATTAAAAATACCCCTCCGCTTTGACCCTTTTTTATAGTAGAGTGATGAAATTTGGTACACTTGTAGAACTCAACAATACGCACAGAAAAGCCTCTTGCACCCATGGTCAATATCAAACAGGAAGTCTGCCATTTTGGACTAAAGTAGCGATTTTGACCCCATTTTGGCCATTTCTAGGGTCTATATTTGGTTGAACAGTTTGGTCATTTTTCGCACGATCGTCTCAAAAATAGTGTGCGATCAAACAGAAGCGATGGACGATTCAAATGAGAAAATAAAATTGACTTTTTGTAAATACTGAAGGGGCGGGGCCAGGCCTCAAAGTTCGAGCACTCGCCAAAAAAATTCAAATTGCTATAATTTCATAAATGAAAGAATTACAGTTAAAAATTTCTATGGACAATCATCATCGCCCCCCCAAAGACAAATGAATGGTCGATTGATGATGTCACACAAGCCCCGCCCCCTCAGGACTTAAAAGGTCAAGTTTTACTGGGAAATTTTCCAAAATTCGCCCTTTGGAATAATCACCACAAATTTGTAGCGGGTAACTGAAGACAAGTTGGGGTTGTTTGGCGTCACTTTATGGGAGTTTTCTGCATAAGGCGGGGCTGTGGCGGCGCAGCGAAGTCAGGTGTACCTCTGTGGCCTTACGTTTGCCTCTCATTTAGTCAGTTCTAAAGATATCGCCACCTTCTTGCGAGTGATCCAAGTCCGACCCCCCAAAAAATCTGATGTGAAAATCCGGTGGGCGTGGCCTATTTTCTGAAATAGCGCCCCCCTAGGACCATTAAAACTGTCAGCCCCAAGCCATGCTTTGACTGAGGATTACGAAATTTGGTACACTAATGTGGTGTCTCAGGACCTACAAAAAGTCTCTTGGAGACAAGTGCAAAGTCGCACAGGAAGTCGGCCATTTTGGTCCAAGTACTCGATTTAGTGGTTTTCGCACATGTCGTTTTGAGAATGATGTCCCGACGCCCTTTCCACCGATTACCTTCAAACTTCTACTATATACTCTTAAGACATAGAGGAAAAAATTCAACGGTCGAATTTTAAATAAGTATAAAGGTTTGGGCGTGGCTAAGCCTCAAACTTTGACCTGTCGCCACGCCACTCTTTTTTTTTTACAGC